TGACATATTTGTGTTTTTTTTTTAAAGAAAAATAAAAAAGTTCTCATAAAATAAATAAAAAAAAAACAAAAAAAAAAACAATGAGATTACCAGTAGATTATGTGATTTAGACATGAGTAGCTAAATTAGATTAAATATATTTCACTATGTGGTTGTCTAGATTTTTCTTCCCAGACCCTTAGAAGTAGAAACTGAACTGGCACAGTTTTGACCTACACTTCTAATGAGGAAACTCCCTAATTCACTATATAAATTAGAAATTAAAGGTAGTACAAACTCAATCACATTACATAGAGCTTCCTGCTGATGTACATTTGAACCATATATATATACACACACGTATTAGATCAGTGCCACTGGTATTAGGGGAAGAAAGGGAGGTTTTACTCTTCTATATATTACGTTGTCTTGATGAAGACAGCTATTACAATCCTCACATAAGCAATTTCATGGGTGCCCATCCAGAAAAAGTCTGAGATTAATGGATCTCACCCCCAAGAGTGCGACCTTAATAGTTGCTACTACAAGAAAAAGCAACTAATCCAATTTTAACTTCGAAGTTTTCTGTGCTGCTTCTCTTTGGTTCTTCCTCCCAATCTCTCAACCCCCCAACTCGCCCCCCCCCCACATCCCCGAGGTCATTTCTCTCACCTGGATGGTTTGCCCGGCGGGGGAAGCAGCGGGTCCCCCCACCAGTTTGCAGAAGAGCTCTAGGCGGGGCCTCCCGCTCTCATCCTGCCCGCAGGTGGCAGTTGCCCAAATGCGGGTTGTCTCCGCCAGGTTGAAGTAAGGCGGGTGGAGACTAAGCGCCCTCTCCCCGGCGTCCAGGGAAGAAGCCGAGAGGGAGCCCGCGGGGTGGCAGCAGGACCAGAGCGCCAAGACGACCCTTGCCAACGCTGCGCCTGGCGCCGTTCGCGAAGCCAAGAGAGCTGCCGCCACCCGGGTCCTCCTCGCCATCTTCGCGCCCCCTTTGCTGGATTTGTTTACGCCGTCCGCGGGATTAGCGATCCGAGAGGGACGGCCTGCCTCGGCCCCTCCTGTGCCCCTTTGTGCTCCGATTAGCTCGGAGGGCACCGAAAAGAAAGCAAAGGGGAGGAGGCGGAGGAGGCAGAGACACCTCCTGCTGCTCGGCTGCCACTTTCGCGGGATCACGAGGGAAAACGCCGCCCAGGGAGAGGAGATCGGACTACGTGGGTCCTAAGGAGGCGAGGGCGGCGTGGGGATTCCCGGAACGATCTCGGCGGAGAAAAACACCTGCAGCTCTAACGCGATCCCGGCGTTTGCTTCGTTAGCAGGGAGCACCGGTCCGTCGTAAGTGAGGCGAGGACTGAGGAAACGCGTCACTCATTGCTGGCGGCAGCTCAAATCGGATTAAAGCTTCGTCCAAGGCTGCGATCCTGTACTGTCCGCGTTTCTCTCAGTTCAACTGAACTTCGTGGAATTTGCCTTTGATTAAATGTCCATCGGATCCGGTTACAGGGTGCTTGAGACCTAGTGGGTTTAGTGGGGCCGAATGGCATTAAAAAAAAACAAGAAAATTTCTTCAGACAACCCATTCTTTCCACAACTTGATGCCTTGCAGAGACTTTGAGTATGTTCAGGATTCCCAGGTAGCTATTTACAATAGCAGAGTTGGAAGGGACCTTGGAGGTCTTCTAGTCCAACCCCCTGCCT